CCTCTTGTGCATACGAAGGTTGGATCGCTGTGCAAAAGCCAGACCACATTCACCACACACAAAAGGCCGTTCCCCTGTATGTGTTCGCATGTGATCCCTCAAGGTAGCATTGCAGGATACGGTTTTTCCACACTCAGGGCATGGGACCCGTTCACCACCACTTTGACGCACCCGAGGCTTAGACTGTTTTACCATGAGAGGATCAGGAGTTACGGCAGGCTGAGGTTTGACAACTTGAGGTTGGGCAGCTACAGCTTGCACCTGAACCTGCAAATTACCATACTGAGCCTGTACTTGTTGGTTAAATTGCCGTGCAATATCTGGACTCCCTAGCTCTACCTGCACAGCTGGACTGGTAGTTATAATCTGTCCAACAGCATCTGGACTGTAATTATACCACAGACCAGTCACCCCTGCCACACCAGCCACTGAGCCAACACTTGCAACGCTGCCTACAGGACTGAGGGTCTGCACACCAGCCACACCCTGAACCACACCACCTGTGACCCCCGCCATGGAACCCACGCCGGTCACCTGGGTCACGCCTGACACGCCGGTGACGCCTGAAGTTACAATGTGTTCCATCTTGCCGTCCTGCAGCCCTAGCTTGTGGGAGTGGAACTGGCTTCAGCTGCAGTTCAGCTCTGGCACTCACTGGCTTTAGCCCTTCATCCTGTTTGGTCTGAAAATAAAGAAAGATAAAATGCATGAGGGACGTGAACATGAAGTAGGAACTGAAATCATTCCAAATATTTTATGAAATTTGAAAAATGTACATATCCAGCCTACTGTAAAATAAACCATATGCAGTTCTTTTCATATGATAAATGTCTAAACTTTTTGTTTCTGTTATCAAAATCATTCTACTCAAACTTTCTGGTGCTATTATCAAAATCAAAGTCAGTTACATATCATGAAGGTGTGGTTCAAACTACAACCACCACTGGAAGCTTAGACTTTGTGCTACATAGTTCATCAGTTTAGGGCAATACACAGATGTTCACCTACTCCTGATAAGGAGTTTATGGATATATATAGTGACATTGTCTACAGGTAAACAGAAAGGTTTAAATCGTAAATTTTAACAATTCCCACTCCAAACATTTAAACCTTTATTTAGTATCACCAGTCTTAGGGTTTAGCAATTCATTTTATTTCATATTTGGTGATTTGCTCTCATCCCAATTCCTTTCTGCCAGTGGTTTCAGCATGGTTTTCATCTAAATTAATGACTACCTCAGGATCTTCTTGTATCATTGACCCTGTACCAGTCAGTGGGGGGGGGGGTATCAACTGATTTTTAAGAGCAGGCATTCAAGTATTACCTTGAAATATATTTTATTATTGGAAATCTCAAATTATTCACTTACCTGCTATAATGATACATCCTGAGGCTAATATATCATATTTATTATATAAAAATAAACACTGAATTA